TTTCCACTAAGGAAAGTTATAACTATATCGAAAGTCCATCAAAATGGGAAAAATCTTTTTTTTGTTCTACTGTATTGAGCCTCTGACAATCAAGTTGTGTATATAGCCCTCCAAATCAAAGAAATAAAACTGTCAGTTGAGGTTGTTTATTAGGAAGAGAACACTTTGTTAGAATAGTTCCATATGTGAACACTGGCACACAACAAGGATATACTAGGTTTTATTTTGAGTATGATTAAACTAAACATATCGAAGCAACAAAACCACTGATTCCCTGCTATTGCAGTTACTCAAATGGTGCCAGGCTGTAATTACAAAAGGATGTCAGCATTATGTGCCACAGTTACTGACAAAAGCCCAATTTGACGGTGATGACAATTAATCACTACTAAAACTGGACCCATTTTTTTGGAATGGGTTTCAGTGTCATTGGAGTAGCATCGTAAAATCCATAATAATTTAACTATCGTTGGCGGTAAAAATTCAAGTCAAAGCATTTAGCAGAACCAACAGCACACCGACATCCCGTCGCAGATGGACTAATGAAGCATGCACCTACCTAGCAATGGGAGCCCATTTGGTATCTTACTCCCTCCATTCCAAATTATTTGAATCTAATTTTGTCCTATGTCAATCTTCTTTATACTTGACCAAGTCTATAGACAAATGTGATATTATCTATAACATTGAACATATATACTCCCTCCGTTCCTAAATATTTGTCTTTCTAGAGATTTCAACAAATGACTATATACGGAGCAAAATGAGTGATTCTACACTCTAAAATATGTCTATATACATCTGTATGTGGTAGTCTATTTGAAATCTCTATAAAGACAAATATTTAGGAACGGAGGGAGTAGTATGTAAACATGTTTTATGATGAATCTAATGGAATTAATTTGGTGTTGTGGATGTTGATATAGTTCTCCATAGACTTAAGTCAAACTTCCTTGGAATAGAGAGAACATAGAACTTCAAGTAATTTGGAATGGAGAGGAGTAGTACTTCTCTAATCAAGCCGTTAAACTCCAATACTAGCTTGCCATCGAAACAAACACCAATTGTAGACTGACATTAGCAGGGGCTATCTGCGTTCGCAGTTGTTGGGGCACTAAACCAATCCCACAATTGGTAGCACGGCAACACCTGTCATTGGAGCAGAGCAGGGATCCTACGCTCAGCACATTAGTGCAAGGAAGCTAGTAATAAGGATGCCGAGAAGGGTCGCATTGCATTGGACGCACCCACCAACCTGGTCAATGGTGAGGGACTGGGCCTGGCTGGCCCGCGCGAGCTCGTCGTACCGCGCGGTGATCCGCCGCTGCAGTGCGCCGGCCACCGAGGCGAGCGGGAACCGCGGCCGCGGCGGCAGCGCGTCGTCCCCGCCGCCGCCTGCCGCCTGCGAGAGGGCCCCGTCGCCGCCCTGCTTCTGCTGCTGCTTCCGCCTCGCCCTGCGCCGCCGCCTCTTCTCCTTCCCGCCCTCGTTCTCCTCGGCCGGCGCGCTCGGCTCGAGCGCCGCGGCCGCCGGCTCGGGCGGCGTTAGGCGGCGGCGGCGGTTCAGGTGGAGGGCAATGAGGAGCGCCGCCGGCGGGGCAGCGAGGAGCACTAGGAGGAGGAGGAGTAGAGCTGCGAGGGCTAGCGGCAAGTCCATCGCCGGCGAGGGCTCGTCATCCCCAGCCGGGACTCGACCCTAGACTCACTGGCTCTCGAATTAGTACTAGGAGTATTTTCGTGCGCGTGGGCGCGCTTGGGAAGTGGGAAGTGGGGTGCGAGGGATGCGAGGAAGAAGTGATGGGTTTGAAGTCTCCGGGCGGCAGAGCCAGAGCGCCTGCTCGCTCAGCTCTTCGAGTGCTCTACAAGTGGTAGCCTCGAGAGAGGGGCGTGTGCACGAGTCGCGAGGTGAGAGCAGTAGTGGTCGAGGCTGGCTGTGGACCACGGATAAGGCTGGTTACACTGGAGAGTAATTTGCATGTTTGGTTTCAATAAGTCATCTGATTTATAAGTCAGGTGACGACTTATAAGTCACTGATTTTAAGTCACCTGACTTATAAGTCATCTGACACACCTTTCCACATCAATCAACAGCATGCAGGTGGTGGGACCAACGCAAAAGGGGGTGACTTATAAGTTTTAAGTTGGGGTGGAGCAACTTATGACTTATAAGTTGGGATGACTTATAAGTCGTGTCTGTTTGGCAAAATAAGTCATTTTTTTCACTTTTCGACTTATAAGTTGGTGACTTATTTGGAACCAAACAAGCCCTTAGACTAGTAACATGCATATATTACTACCTTTATAGTGCATAGTATCATAGATTAGTATCATATGTGGTCTCATTTATTGCCATGCATGACATATAGTAGCATCACATTTATTATGTTACGATATCTACCTATGTTATTATAACCATCTCTTTCTTCTTTAATTGTCTGTCACATAAGCATGTTTGCGAGTCCCAAATGCTTGACACTACTTATGTTACCACACTATGGCCAGCCTAAGGACGACCGACGGAGTAGCACAGCTATAGGCTATAGGAACATTCATTAGTTCAAAAGAAAAAACACAGGGAAATTTGAAAAAAAAACTGAGATTTTGGGCCACATAAGTGTGCAATCTACTTTCATGTGAAATTTCGTGAAAATATATCAGAAAATGTAACCTTGGCAAACAAATAAAAAACCTATGTATGAAGAAAAGACCGTGTGGATGGATTGTAGATTGGAGTATATTTTCTTTGTCACAGATATATTTTCTGATATTCTTTCATGAAATTTCATATGGGAGTAGATGGGGCAAACTAATTTGATATCCCAAATTTTTAGATTTTAAAAAAAAATTGTCGGTACTTTTTGAATTTAAAATTCGTATAAGGGGTGGAGCATCCAGGCGCTCTGTGTATTTCCCACGACGAGGATGACTACAAAGCCAACATCCGCAACATGGATCACCAAAACGTTCTAACATTTGACATGGTTGCATGCATCCACCCCAAACTATTCTCGCTGAGTTAGGGAAAAAAGTCTATTTGGATAGGCCAACTCCAACGCATGATCCATTTCGTTTGTCCAGTCCATTTGGGTCGAAATGGATAAATGTGGCAGCCCAATGTGCGAGTGCAACCCCAAATTATGTCTGTTTCGTGTCCACCTTGACCAAAAGTTGGCGTAAATTTGGGTCGGATTTATGTCCACGGGGACACGAGGCGGACCCACACGCGTCCTCTTGTCGCCCGTCCTAGGGCTCGCATGTCGGCCATGCAACCACTTCCCTATTGGTAAACGTAGTAGAAAACAAAAAAAATCACGCCTATGCACACCCAAAAACAATATGAAGATGACTGATAACCCACAAGTATAGGGGATCACAACAGTTTTGAGGATATTATTTGCCAAAATTTATTAATTCGACACAAGGGGAGACAAAAAATATTTGCAAATATTAGCATTTGAGTTGTCAATTCAACCACACTTGGAACACTAAATATCTGCAGCAAAGCGTTTAGTAGCATAGTAGTATGATAGTTTGATATCAGTGGTAACAGTAGCAATAGTAATAGTAATAGTAACAATATCAGTTTTGTAGTGATTGTAACAACAACAACAACGAAAGTAACTTAGTAAAGATCAATATGCAAAAAGCGTAGGCATTGGATCAGTGATGGATATCTGTTTGGATGATATTCATCATATAACGGTCACAACCTAGAACGATACACAATAACTCCAATTCATCAGTGTAATATAGGCTGATGTCTACTACGCAACTTTTATTCTTATGGACGTTGTTGGTCCTCCAAGTGCAGAGTTTTGTAGGACAACAGCAAATTTCCCTCAAGTGGATGACCTAAGGTTTATCAATCTGTGGGAGGCGTAGGATGAAGATGGTCTCTCTCAAACAAACCTGCAATCAAATACAAGAAATCTCTTGTGTCCTCAACACACCCAATATAATGGCAAATGGTATAGGTGCACTAGTTCGACGAAGAGATGGTGATACAAGTGTAGTATGGATAGCAGATATCGGTGGTATAGGTGCACTAGTTCGGCGAAGAGATGGTGATACAAGTGTAGTATGGATAGCAGGTATAGGTTTATTATCACTCCAAAGTTCTTATCTAGCGGAAAACATAAGATGAAATTATTATAAGGTACGAAACCACCTCAAAGTTATCTTTTTCTAATCAATCTATTAAGCCATCCCTATAAGTTTCACGAACAGCCCTAGAGTTTGTATTAAAATAACATAATATGATACGCATCAACTAACTCTAATGTAACCTAGATACTTCAGTGTCACCACAAATATCTGTGAGTTGATTATTCAATATGCATCAAACAACTTCAGATTCATAATATTCAATCCAATACAAAGAACTTCAAAGAGTGCCCCAAAGTTTCTGCCAGAGAAAGCAGGACGAAAACGTGTATCAACCCCTATGCATAGATTACCCCAATGTCACGATAATCTGCAAGTTGAATACCAAAACATATATCAATTGAATCAATAGAACACCATGTTCACGGGTATCCATATGCAAGACATACATCAAGTGTTCTCAAATCTAAAAAGTATTCAATTCGATAATAGTGAAACCTCAAAGGTAAAAACTCAATTCATTATTCATCACAACAAAGCCCACGTTACATCAAGATCGTGCAATCGACAAGAATTGGAGTTACAATAATAATCAGGAAGGTAATAAAAATGTCAAAGTTTGGCTTGATCGAGTGGTCGCCTGCCCCCAATGGTCTTCTATATATCCTGATTGCAAGGTTACTCATATTATCAGCTCCAGATCTGATCATTGTCCTATTCTTATTGAATTGATGGGTGCCCCTCACTCAGGTACGTTTTTTAAGCAGTTGAAATATGAAGCATGCTGGGAGAGGGAGGAAGCGGAGTTGAAAGTGCGGATTGAATCGTGTTGGAATAAAAGTATGCACGTTAATGATCTGGGAGATGTGGCAAATAATCTGGACAAGTTGATGAAGTCTCTTCATGGATGGAGTAAGGTTCACATTGGATATTTGCCAAAAAAAAACTTGACTCTGCTCGTAAAAGATTAAATGTGCTTTTTAAGAGGAATGACCATAATGCAATAGAGGAGAGGAAGAAAATTCTAACTGAGATGGATGAGCTCCTAATTAAGGAAGAAATTATGTGGAAGCAGAGATCATGTTTGGACAAAATGAGATGGGGGGATAGGAATACAAAAAAGACCATGGAAGGCTACATGGAGAGTGAAGTAGAATAATATTTCTGCCATTAAAAGAAGTGGATCTCTGTCTCATGATATGGATGAAATCAAAGGTATCACTAATTCGTTTTTCAAGAACCTTTACTCTTGTGATGCTATGGTTAACCCATCTCGTATTATTCCACTTGTGAAACCATTGGTGAATGATGAAATGAATGAGGATCTATGTAAAGAATTTTCGGAGCAAGAAATTAGTGACGCTCTCTTCCAAATTGGTCCTTTGAAGTTGCCTGGGCTGGACGGGTTTCCAGCTAGTTTATTCCAAGGAACTTGGGTTTGTTAAAAGAAGACATTGTCGTGTCGTCCAACAATTCTTTGTCTCGGGAAGAATGCGCGAAGGGATAAATGATACTACCATTGTTCTTATTCCTAAAGTGAAGAATCCCCAGTCGATGAAGGACTTCGGCCAATAATCCTATGCAACATCATATATAAAATTATCTCCAAGTGTCTCATAAACAGAATGAGACCCCTTTTGGATGGTATGATTTCTCCTACCCAAAGTTCCTTCATTCCTGGAAGATTAATTTCAGATAATGCTCTCATCTCTTTTGAATGCATGCATTCGTTAAATAATCTCAAAGATAGTCGTGGTGAATATTGTGCATATAAGTTGGATCTTGCAAAAGCTTATGACCGTGTGGATTGTAAGTTCCTTGAAAATATGCTTGGAGTGTATGGCTTTGCACCAACCTGGATAAAGTGGATTATGACATGTGTCACATCAGTAAAATTTTCTGTGCACTTTAATGGCCAGCTGCTGGAGTCTTTTCACCCCTCGCGTGGGCTTAGGCAAGGGGATCCATTATCGCCGTACTTATTCATCTTTGTGGCTGAAGCCCTTTCTTTGCTTCTAAATGATGCATCGGCAAGAGGGGTGATCCAAGATTTCCGGTTGAACAGATAGGCTCCAGGTATCTCTCATTTATTATTTGCTGATGATAGTCTCCTGTTCTTTAAGGGTTCGGTGGAGCAAGTTTTGGCCGTTAAAGGATTTTTGACGGCTTATGAAGAGGGTATAGGAAAATTGTTAAACCCAGGAAAATGTTCCATTTTATTTGGGAAAAATGCTCTCTGGAAGATCAGGTGTCCATATTGGTCATCCTTCGAATCAGGAGTGAATGATTTGAGGATAAATATCTAGATTTACCAGTGCCAGAAGGTCGTATGAAGGCGGGCAAATTCCAATCTACCAAAGATAAAGCACTTAAGTGGGTGAATGACTGGGTTGAAAAATATGCTTCTAGCAGGGTGAAGGAAATCCAAATCAAGTTTGTTATTCAGGCCATTCCGGTCTATGCCATGGGTATCTTTAAATTTCCTATGTCCCTCTGTGATGAGTTATCCAGAATTTCTGGTGGGGTGATGAGGAAAATAGAAGGAGAACTCAT